TGCCCAGGTGGGTCTCGAACCCACAGGCTCAGGCAATCCACTCACCTCAGCCTCCCAAAGGCGCGGGATTACAGGCTGAGCCACCAAACCCGGCTATCTCTTCATCAGTTTTATATCCCTAAGCCTATATGACTCGCAGCCCTTTCCAATGGCACATTCTTTCTTTAGCTGTGCAAATACCCACAGAGAATGTGTGTCCTCTACAAGGTGGCTCTACATGGCTCTGCCAATACTATCTTCTTATCATTCTTCAGAGGCAGGTTGTTTCAGGCCCTCCTCATGGCCCTCACAATTGCTCCCCTTTGCCTTCCACACTTGCAGTTCATTCATTCATTATCAAATATTTATTGAGCACCGCCCTTATGCCAGGCACTGGGTCAAAGGGCTATTCTGTCTATACAAAATGCTTCCAGTAATAAGGAAGACCTAAAATCTGTCCCTGCATGTTCAGAACATGGATGTGGTTCATTAACACCTCCTGATACCCCTCAAGGTTGCTTAGAACCTTGAAATTTGACTAAAGGACCTGGGGTAAACTAGGGTGCTACTCTACTCAGTCATGAAAAAGCCCAATGAACTATCCCATCCCCCTAAAACAGTCAGCAGGTAAGGAGCTTTGGGGATGGCCAGAAGTAAGAAGAAAGGTTTTGATCCAGAGGACATGGGTGGAAACTAGAAATGCCCTGGTATCAGGGGAAATGTTCCCACTGAAGACATCGGTTTTCAAATACAATTTTTATTCTCTTACCTTCTTATTCTTGACTCTTTTCCCTTGTTCTCTGCAGATGGAAGCTGAACTGGAGCGTTTCCATAAGCAGAACACTCAACTGGAGCTGAACATCACGGAATTGTGGCAAAAATTAAAAGCCACTGATCAGGAGATGCGCAGGGAGAGACAGAAGGTGTGAGGGTTTTCAGAGTCTGGCAGTTCTTGAATGCAGAATCTGGCGCCTGTCTGCAGTGGGTAGCTGGCTTGTAAGACAGAGCCAGCCCACTGCAAGGACATGTTTTCCATTTTAACTCACATTCTTTCCCTGATCACAGCCCTGCCTGATTTCAGGCCCAAGTGAATTTACATAACTAAATCCATCTAAGACTATAAAGAGACTCTGGATAAAGTGATCGGAGGGTAGGAAGCCAGTTTGGTAGGAACATTCATAGAATTGGCCTTGATTGACCCAGAAACAACATGCTGTAAGAGGTAATTTATAGTCACTGCTTTAAGGCTTTGACTATCAACAATTGCTGAGGCTAGGAGAACCTCAAAGATCATCCCTTCTGGTGTCTTTATGTTACATATAAGGAGAAAATAAGGCCAGAGAAAGCAGAAGGTTAAGAAACTTCACCCAGGACCCATCACTAAGTAGTTCATATAGAGCCAGTCCTGGAAACGAGGTCTTCTGGGCCTGGGCCAGAACTCCATTGCACCGTCCTCCTGTAGCACAGGCCACACTGGAACATTTGGTGATTCTGATTGGATTTTTCCATCCTCCACGTTAAGTGTTGACTTTGTACCAGGCACTACTAGAAGTTGTAGAGCTACAAATATGAGCTGATACGAATCCTGCCCTTCACAAGCTGAGGCAGTTGATTGGTGATTTGTGGCATGTGCATAATAATTATATTGCAAGGTAGAAAATGATGGAGTATGTAGAAAGGACCATGGGAGCAAAGAGGGAGGAGAGACTCTCCAGGCCAGGTGGGGGAGACAGGTGAAGGAGACAGATGGGGGAGACACGATGGAGAGGATGCAGCCCGAGGGTTCAAAGAAACCAATCTGATTTGTGTGTTATTTTGTTCCATCCTGAGTGGTAAGTCAGCAGCGCTCCCAACTGTCAGGAAGGGTAAGCACTGGATGAGCTCATCAAGGAGACATGGAAGCCTTGGCCAGGAATCTGTGAGAGTGAAATGATGCCTTCTATCTAGGCATTAAAGGGGTGTGGGCCACATGGGCTTCCTTTCATCTTTTAAAGCCTCTGGTCCTGAAAGGAATCCAGCCAGTAAAGGAGCCCATCTGTGTGTCCTCTTAAGGATGAAGCCACATAGGCTGTGCAGACTGGGTGCCTGGCAAGGGTGGGTGCCTGCGGGTCCAGTGTTTCACCTCTCAGCTATGTGCCCATCTAGGTTTCCATGTCTCGTGTGGCCCCTGGCCATCAGTGGTAAGTCCCAGATGAGGTGTCTCTTGTCCCTTTCTGTCCTTCCACCTGTATAGCACCCGACAGTGCCGGAAGGAAGTGTCTCTGATTGCAGGAGCGGGACTTGGAGGCGCTGGTCAAATGGTTTAAAACAGACCTCCACAACTGCGTGGCATATATCCAGGAGCCACGGCTGCTGAAGGAGAGGGTCCGAGGTCTCTTTGAGAAGTACGTGCAGCGGGCGGACATGGTGAGCTCAGCCTTCCCTCCAGCCTTGCCCTGCCCTCCATGGTCTCCCTGCCCTCACTGAGAAAACCCTCACCTCCCTCAGGTGGAGATCACAGGACTGAACACGGACCTGCAGCAGGAGTATGCCCGTCAGCGGGAGCATCTGGAGAGGAACCTGGCCACTCTCAAGAAGAAGGTGGTCAAGGAAGGCGAGCTGCACCGCACTGACTATGTTCGCATCATGCAGGTACCCACATGCTCCCCTCCACTCCCTTGGAGGCCAGGCCATCAGAGATGAGAGAGCCCGTCGAGGGTCCCTCTGGGACCACCCAACCTCAGGACTCCCTAGATGTCCGGGAACCCAGTAGCTTTCCCAACAGCTTATTTTTGGCTTCTCTCCTCTGACCTCCCAGAGCTCGTCCTGGCTGTGACCATGGCCAAAAGCCAACCAGGCAGGCCTGCTAGACATCTGTGACCCTCTCTCCCCACCAGTGCCCCTCACTTCTCCAGGCATCCCTGATCCTTTTCCCACCCACCTTGATCCAAAGCACACCTGTGTCCTGCCTCACTCCCCCATCAGCCCCTGGGCCCCAGACTTCCATCCGCATCATTTCAGCTCTCCTGAGTCACTCTCCCCTCTTGTCTCCTGCTTCCGATGCTCATGTCAACTTACTTGGTTTTGCTACTTTTTATTCTGCCATTCATATCACGTTGGCCCTGCTGGGACAAATCTGCCCACTTGCCCCATCTGACTCTGCTGGTACCTTGAGTCCCTCTTATCACTTCGTCCCCAGTTATCCACACCCTCCCAGAGTTCACCTCACTCTGGTTAAATGAGTTATTCACATCCACCTCCCAGACTGCTCCTTCCTGGGGCTGTACAGAGGGCCTGACCCCATTACTGCCGCCTCCACTTGGGCACATTATCAGGACTGCCAGTCAGGATTCCTCTGCCAGATTTTTGTTTGGGTATCAGTATCGTCTGAGGCAATTAACGTGAATTAGTATCAAAAGAGAACATCAGAATCATGTTTATAAAGCATGCACCTTTTTATGTTCCCATTTCTTTAATGCCATAATTAAAATCCTGGAATGGGGCCAGTTTGCAGTGGGATCGAAACAGACCAATTTCCAGCTTGGTCGTTTTGCACACAGCTGGGCAGAGCACACCGCAGCTCAGGCCAAATGCAGGCTGATCTCATGCCATCTCGCTACCCATCCCCACTGAAAAGCAGCCTGGTCCATCTAACCATTGCCCTACTCCTGGGCCATGAAGGCTGCTGGAGGCCCAGAGACACAAGTGGATCTGCGCACAGAGCCACTGCTAAGGTCCTTGAGTGTCTGAAGCATGGAGCCCCCTGGGGCTCTGGATTGCAGCGAGCTGGGCTGTGGGACCAGGGTGACAACAGGAGTAGTTGTCAGCCAGTGACATCACTAAGCTCCCGCAAAGTAAATGTCAGTACTAGGAGAAGGAAAGGAAACCATGGGTCAGTAAGAGGGTGCACACTTCAACGTGAGGTTTTTGGGGCAGACATTGTATGTGCTTTTGCTCCCCCATATCTCAGAGTGTGTGTGCTGTGCTGGAGTGGGATGGGGAGCAGAGGAGACCCAGGCAGGGCTCCTGCCCAGCCCTGCCCCTCCCTGCTGGCTGGCAGAGGGAATCATCCACAGGGGAAATCCCTTGAAGGATGCTTTCTCCAGCAGCACTGTCACCTGTGTGCTGTGGAGTCCTGTGGCTCCAAAGAAGTGACTCTGGCAACTGCAGGAAGAAAGAAGAGAGCCAGGGAGCAGGGCTCTGGGTCCCACCGGGTCAACTGGATACTCCTTGCTGATTACAGCGGGACTCTGTGTAAGATTTTGCTTGCAAAAAGTGTGGAAGTTTTTTTTAAAAAACAATATTCAAAACCACGGTTCTGGGTGCTTCCCAGCCAGGGTGTTGGAAAGAGAGTGGGCACTGCCACCATGCAGACCCTGCTTAGCCTGCTTCTGCCATTCTTCTGCCAGAAGACCTTGAATAAATTCCTGAACTCCTCCACAAGCTTCCCTCCTTATCCGTAAGATTGGGAAGAAGACACCAGCCTCAGGGGATCCTGCGTGACTGAGTGAGAGAGCCAATGTAAAACACTAGGCACTTGCCTGGCATGGAATTGGTGCTTTAAAACAAGTCATTTTGGTCAAGCGCAGTGGCTCAAGCCTGTATTCCCAGCACTTTGGGAGGCTGAGGTGAGAGGATTGCCTGAGCTCAGGGGTTTAAGACAGCCTGGGTAACTTGGAGAGCCCTCGTCTCTACAATAAATCAAAAAATTAGCCAGGTGTGGTAGCACTTGCCTATAGTTCCAGCTACTTGGAAGACTGAGGTGGAAGGATTGCCTGAGTCCAGCAGGTAGAGGCTGCGGTGGCCATGAGTGTGCCACTGCACTCCAGCCTGGGCGACAGAGTGGAACTCCAACTCAAAAAAAAGGGGGTGGGAATTTCCCTCTCCTCACCCAAAGGACCTATTCATGAACTAAGGTAGAAATTCAGTGGGAGAGACTAAAAGGCCATCAGAGGAGGGGTCAGGGGTGTCCGGGGACCAGAGGTGTGGTGAGAGAAGCACAACTCGCTCCAGACCCCCAAATGGAGGCCTTGGTGTGTGTTGATCAGAAGCTGGTTGGAGCTGCGCCTGCAGGTACCAGGGCCTTGGCACTTAATTCCAAAAAAGGCGAAGGAATGCCGAGGCAAACATGGCGTCTGAGAGCTACTTACTAGAAAATAACTGAGAAAATGAGGTCACTGTCTCATTTGTATATTCAGGTAGGAGCTCAGGGCCTCCCCACTCCATTCCTCAGCACACTTGCAGATATGAAAATAAGAGTTGCTATGAGACGTAAACATCTAGGACACACTTTTTATTCATTCAGTACACATTATTTGAGGGATTATTACACAAGCTCTGTGTCAGCCACAGAGAATTCCAAGATGGATGTGATAGTATTTCTACCCTCAGGAGTTCATCAGAGGGCACTTGGGCCAGAAACAAATATCACTGCTCAATTCAGTGTATGTAGTGCTGTCAGGTTCAATTATGCCTCAGAGACTCCCAGAAGTTTTCTGAGGGGAAAGGGCATTTGAGCTGGGCCTTAAAAGGTGAGTAGAGGTTGTCAGGGAACAACTGAGGGAAGGACCTTCCAGGCAGAGTGAACAACCAAGAAAAAGCCTAGAAGAGCAAGGTCGGTGCGGTGCTGGGAGCCCTGTGAGTCCACAGACTTGAGTTGATGGCGTCAGGACTGGGAGAAGAGCCCCCTGGAGTAGCAGGTAGCTGTGGATCATGTTGAAAAGGGCCTTCCCTGTCACACCAAGAAGCACAAAGTTTATCCCATGCACAGGCACACCCAAGGTTTCTTAAGTACATAGGGATGTCTTTGTTTTGAAAAGATTAACTCAGGGTGGAGACTGGTGGGGAAAGAGGCAGGTGGCAGGAAAACCCGTTAGGAGATGATTGTGGTGTGGAGGGTAGAGGAAAAGGGCTTGGAGAGGGGAACCTTGTGATGTCAGAAGGGACTTCGAAGTAGAGATGACGAGTAGAAATGTCAGAGTAGACATGGGTGGAAGGCTGAAAGAGGAGCGGAGGAGTCCAGGATGGCTCATTTGTGCAGTTAGGCAGGCAGCAATCCCACTAACTGAGGGTTCCAGAAAGACAGACGCCACTGGTGCAAGGGTTCCAAGTTCATGGAATAAATCTGTTGCCTGCTTTTTCCAGACTGAGGCACTACTGTATTCTTAAAGGCGTCAACTCAGGCCTTGCCAGTAGGGGATGCTTTAGGCATTCCTTTTCCTTCTCTGCCCAATATGGTTGTCTGAAAGATCTGCCAGGGACAGGCATAGCCTGTCAAGATCTGCAGGACAGTCCAGCATAGCCACTTTGCTTAGAAAGCTCTTTATATAAACAGATCTTAGAATCCCCCAGCCACATTCCCACATTTCCTAAGACTTGGCAGTTGGTGGACCCCAGGCCAGATTTTCCCTGCAGCCGAGTAGCCAGCTGGGGGTCTAGAGGATTGGAGGGGCTTTGGGGGGCCATCCTGACCCAGAAGGGATCAGGAACAGAAGGCTCAGCAAGCCTGTTGCATTCACATTTTTAATTCACAAGGCTATCCAGAGCATATACAGCTGACCTCAGTGTGACTCTGGACTGCTCAGAACACAAGCCACCCCAGAAGACATTTCTAGGAAAGCCCAACTTGTACTTATTGGAGTGTCCTTGACCATTGTACTGTGTGAGGTATTGGAATGGAGGTAACGTAAATGGGAGGGAAGAAAGGAGAGTCTTGGAGGCCATAGCCATAGAGGGACAGGGCATTCTGGAGGCGGACATAGCCAGAATCAAACCCATCTCCACCACTTATGCACTCCCTCAGTTTCCTTCTGAGGTTGGTGTAAGGATGAAATGAGGGATTGTATGCAAACAGTTTGATACAGTGCAGAGATCCAATAAACGCTTGCGTTATTGTTATCATCAAGCCTTTATTTATTTAGAGACAGGGTCTTGCTCTGTCGCCCAATGGCACAATCATAGTTCACTGCAACCTCTGGCCTCAGCCTCCCAAGTAACTAGAACCATAGGCATATGTCACCATGCCCAGCTTTTTCTTTCTTTCTTTCTTTCTTTTTTTTAAATAAAGATGGGGATCTCACTATGCTTCCACAAGCTGGTCTCAAACTCCTGGCCTCAAGGGATCCTGTTACCTTGGCCTCCCAAAGCTTAGGATTATAGGTGTGAGCCACATGCCCAGCCATCATCAAATGTATAGTGCCTTAAGCCCTGCTTGCTCCCTCTTGGCTCCAGGCCTGGAATGCTCTTCTCCTCCTCCATCTCCCCAGAAGCTTCCCTCATGCTGTGCCGCGTGCTGTTTCAGACTCTCATGGCATCTCTCCATATTGGAGACAAGTGGGAACTCCTGTGTCCAGCAAAATGACCAGTGTATAGTAAGCTTGCAGGTGATTCTTAGGTGATGTTTCTGAATGGATGAATGACTGAATGAACGAATAAGCGGAATATGATCCTCAGACTGCATTGAGCCTCAGTCATAGTCTAATAAGGACCGAGTCACGCTCTAGAGGCCCATTTCGGTGAGGAAGAAGCATCATAGAGGTGTCAGAGGCTGGCAGTGGGATCAAAAACAGGCATTTACAACAAAAGATACCAGGAGCCAGAAATCCTTGTCACAGTGACAGGGCTGTAGAGGGTGAAGGGGGTGGGGAGAAACTAGGGCAGAGGCTCCGCTGGGGCCTTACAGTGGAACAGGGAAGAGTGCTGGAAGCTAGATACAAGTCACAGCAGGAGGATGAATGTGAACTTCAGCTCAGATCCAAAACCATAGGACTCAGTGATAGGACGGATGGAGATGAGCAAGAAGAGAAAGTAACTAGAGATGTAAACTGAGAGGACTCAAAATGGTGCTTTGGGTTTCTAGTCTTTATTCTGACTGCTATCATTACTTTATTGAATGAGGCAGAAGTGGGGCTTAGTAATGCCTACTGAGAAGAGACATAGAAAGAGACCCCGAGTGAGCTGGCCTATGGGTTCCCTCTGGCTCCCTAAGACCCTCCTTTCTGTCCTGGTCTCTTCCACCCGACTTTTACCCCTTGGTTAGTCATTTCCTTGTTAGTAAGAATCTCCTCTTATTCAATTTGGCATCTACTGCATTAGTTACTCATCTGCTCATTCATTTCATAAATATTTACTGAGCACCTCTTACATGTAAGGCAGGGGCCAAGGTCTTAGAACCCTACAAATACATCATGTCATGGAGAAGGTTCAGGGGAAGAGACAGCCCTGGAAAAGAGCTGTGGGCGATTTACCACCAAGGCCTCAGTTGGCTAAAAGGGTGATGCATAGATGGAGAAAACCTCTGCCTCCTAGAAACACAGGCACAAAGCCTGGCCTGGAGGATGAGAGATTGGCCAAAAAGATTGGGCATTTCATTCTTGAGGGAGAGAAGTTTCTTAGTGAGTGAAATTAAGTAATACACTGAAGATCTAAATGCCTAGACCTGTGCTTAGATGAAGAATGTCTGGAGGGAAAGGATCTCTTGGGGTGTGCCTAGCTTAGCCCCTGCTCCCCCAGGCTCCACAGCACATCCCTGCAACTGGGAACTGCTTGTCACAGCTCACTGCGAACAGCTTGAGACCATCCTGTTCTTCGCATTCACCACTCCAGAGTAATGTCCCAAGCAGAAGCACACCCTGTTCCTGGCACAGGTCTGTTTCATGTAGATTTGGCCTGCTTTGCCTTTTCTGGTACTCAGACCCCCCAAGGGCTTTGCTACTTAACTTGTGGTCTGGCCTGTGGATCCGCAGCAGCATCTCTGGGAACTTGTTAAAAATGCAGACTCTCAAGCCCATCCCAGACCTACTGAGTCAGAAGCTGCAGCTAACAAGGTGCTCAGGTGATTTATTCGCAGTCATATGTGAGCTATGTAATTTGGGCAGATTATATAACCTCTCTGTAACTCAGTTTCCTCTCCTGTAAAATTGTGATTGTAGATAACCTGACTACTGAGGCTGTGCTCTAAGAGCAAAGTGGCCAGTCTCTGGGCCTATGGTGATGGGACTCCTTGGGGTGCTTGTGCCGAATGTGAAATGGAAGGAAGAAGTCTGAAGTATGAAAAAATGAGAAGCGATTGCTTAGTCCCAGAGAACAGGGCTTGCACTACCTGGCCTCCAGCAAACTTTATCCTCCCTCTTCTAGACTCCCCTCTTTTCACTTTGCATTCCAGTGATACAGAATTTCTGCAGCCCCTCACCCCACCATCAGCTTTGACATTTCTGTGCCCTCGCACCTGCTGTTCTGGCTGTTTAGGACACCCGTTACCCTCTCCTTGGTAACTGCTTTAACCCTCAGTCCAGGAGTCATTTCCTAGGAATCCACACTGGTTATTCAGGCAGAGCTAAGGGCCACTCTTCCATCACAGCTAGCTGGCCACCATGCTAAATCATGCCCATACTCCCCACTAAACTGTAAATTCCTCAAGAGCAGGGGCTAGACTCTACTCTCTGTATACCCCAGGGTCAGCACAGTGCCTGCATAATATTGGGTGTCTACATAATAGTTACACAATAAATATTTATTAGATAGGTGGTTATTTATCACATACAAACAAGAGAAGCAAACTTCCCATGATGTAGCAGATGGTTAATTATCTGTTTACTTTTCTACACTACTCTATAAACAGCATGCTGTTGAGGGCAGACCATGTCATATTACGGTCTGCATTCCAAGGACTTACCAGATACCCTATAAATATGGGTTCAACAAATGAATAAATAAAATATAGCACAGTACTTAAGAGCTCTGGAGCCAGACTGTTGAGGTTGGGTTTCTGGCTCTACTACCTGATAGCTGTGTAATTTGGGCAAGTTATATAACCTCTTTGTGCCTCAGTTTCCTCTTCTATAAAATTGTGATTGCAATAGAATCTAGCCATGGGATTATTATGATGCTTAAATGCATTAAACTCATATTAAAAGTGCTTAGAAAAGTGTTGATATTGCAGTGAGCATGGATGGCATGAGGATGGTGCTGAGTCCATCCGCCTCAAGGTAAGTTTGCTGCTACCTCGAGAAGCTGAACAATAAGCCAGGATCAAGGATCATGCCCCAGTGGAGGAACTGGAGAGTTAACCTGGGTCCAGACCCAACCCTGCCCATTCCCCACACCCTAGTCCCAGGAGAGCATGCCCTGTGCTCACTGAGCGCTCATCCACCATACTCCCTCTCTCTTTCTTCTTTTCTGCAGGAAAATGTCTCTCTGATCAAGGAAATTAATGAGCTCCGCAGGGAGCTGAAATTCACCCGCTCCCAAGTCTATGACCTTGAAGCAGCTCTGAAGCTGACCAAAAAAATACGACCACAAGATGTTCCAGAGACAGGTAATGTCCCCATTGGCCAGGTGAGAGGGGTATTGGGATCCAGAGACCAAGGGCAGCCACAAGCAGGCTCCCTTTGGCTTCCTTCTGTTTCAAGTCACATCCATATACAGCCTTCTGGGTGCCTGTCCATGCTAGTGCCTGTTCTCTGGAGGATCCTTGAGGCCCTTCCTACATTCAAACACACACAGGTCCACCGTCCCCTATCTAAAATCCTTGGGGTTAGTTACGGTTTGGAATTCTGAATCTTTCAGATTTTAGAAAGAACATACTATATGTAGCATAACATTCCCAGAGGGGTCTGGGGCAGCACCCTAAAATCAAACACTTTAGAATTTCTGTAGTGACATATGAATATTCACACTAAGCTTCCTGAATTTAAAAAAGTGTTCGTTTTTAGATCTTTTTGCATTTTAGAATAGTGAATAAGAGATTGTGAACCTGTACAATTAAAATGAAGACAAAAAGAAAGATGAGAAACTATTTAAAGGGAGAGAGGAAAGAATTACATAAATATTAAATGAGTTAGTTACTGCAATTATACCCTAAAGTTCCTCTGAATTTCTGAAAGCCAAGGCAAAAAGGGAAACAAAGAAATATAATAGTTTACATAGTTATCATTGTATGGCAAAAAAAAAAGGTTTTGTCTGGAAAAAAAAAACCTTTTCCTGGCATCCTGGCACTAAATTCTATGAGAAATTTATCATATGGATCCTTCGGGAAGAAATGTTGAATAACAATGGATAGTCTTTACATACAGGCTTTCAGGCAATAAAGAAACATGCTTTAAGTATCCACTTCTTATCTGGACAGTCAATAAAAAAAAAACAATAGATTAAGGCATTTCTATGGAAAATTAAGCCTACGTGGTTCAAGTAAAGTATTTTGTTTTCTGGTGGTTTACATTCAGGAAAAAGATTAGAGACCTTAAGAAATAAAACCTTCCATAGCCATGTGCAATTGGGTCTTTCAAATGTCAGTTGTCTCACGTACCATGGTTATATAAGATATTATCACAGGAAGAAAGTAGCTGAGGGGTACACCAGAACTCTGTATTATTTTTGCAACTTCTTACTAGTCTCAACCTATATAACTACATATATTTAATTACAAAATTAAATTAAAAGCAGTGTGTGTGTGTGTGTGTGTGTGTGTGTGTGTATCTCCAGGACTACAGTTGAGACAAGAGTAAGCCCTTTGAGTAGTACCTGAAGTAGCAATATTAGTACAGAACTGACAGGAGAGCCCAGCATGTGTTATAAAGACTACAGTACTTGACTTCTCAGAGGTAAAACCATCTTCTCTTAGAGGTCAAGCACAGAAATGCCTGTGAACAACTGCAAAACTTCTCTTAAAAGATTTTTCAAATATGTCCAAGCATCCTAACAAATACTCAATTGGGACCTCCTCAGGATGCTATATGATATAGCCAGGTTCTTCATATTACTATTATGGAAATTTCCAGACATAAAAAAGCTGAGAGGAAAGTCTAATGAATTCCCACGAATTCATTCCCCAACTTCAACAAGTATCAACTCCTGTCACTCTTGTTTCATCAGTATCCCTCCACTCCTGCCCAGTTATTTCCTCCCACATCCACCTTGTATTATTTTGAAATAAATCAAACATTTGTATGACATCATTTTACTCAAGGAAGACTTCACTTACAATAATTGAAGACAGGTGTTACCAATTGTCTGCCTTGATTATAAAAAAACCTAAGTCTGACCTCAAATTTTGAACGTGGGTTCACCAAGAGAAGTCAGCTCAAAATGTACATCCTCAAGTTGTTTAAGGAAATGACCAATCCAGGTGGTTTTTAAGAATTCCGAATCTGAACAATGGAGGTTGTCATCCCCAAACCACTATTTTAGTTTTAATAGCATTTATATTATTCTCATGTACACAACAATTAACTAACAGAGTCGAAAAATATACGTGTTTATTTTTCAATTTATAAAACCATATCACTAGAATTTCTGATTAAAGATGGTTAGTTGAAAACCTACTAAAATGGTATCGATAAACCATAGGAACAAAGAGAATAAAAGGAAATAAGACCAAAACAATTTTTAAAGCTGGAAAATGGGTGGATGAATGATAACTGACTTCATAGACCTGAGAAACCTGAATCCTAAGCCAGAAGCCAGAGTCGGGAAGCTAGAAGAAATCTTATGTATACCACAAAATCCTCAAAAGTTTCAGAAATTATCAGGAGTAGATATCTCTGGAAGTAAAGTGAAAGTGGGGATTAAAATAGGAGAGAAAATATATTTAAGAAGCTGTTAGATCCACCTAGTATCCAATACAGTGACTAAAAAATCCTATGTCTTCTTTCTTGGTTTACATCCTTTATTTTCTGCTTGGGGTTTGGGAATGCTACCAGCATGGGGTTCAAAGAATTCCCATAGATAATGTTTCAAGGAACATGAACTCACAACCAAAAATCACTAAATGCATGAGGAAATAAACTACCATGAATGAAAAGCAACAAAAATGTCAAATTACGAATAAAACCAATAAAGATTCATGGATAGTAGAGTTATTGAAATAAGAATGTTTAATATGTTTAAAGAAAGAAAAGAATAATTTAAAATAAGACAATAAAGCAAAAGTCTTCCAAATTTTATAGGCAGATTTGAAAAAGAACCATATAATACTTCTAGAAATAAAAACTATTATACTTGTAATTAGAAGCTCAATGGACAGACTGAACAAACTGAAGGGAGAATTAGTAAACTTAAAAGAGTGAATAAATAGCCAAGGTTGCAGTCCAGAGGAATAAAGATATAGTAAAACACAAAGGGGCTAGAATGGGATAATCCAACTTATGTCTAACTGAACTTTGAGATAGAAAGAATGAGAAGAGGCAACATTATCATAAGTAACAGCTGAGAGTTTTTTTCAGAATTGATGAAAGATGCCAACCATCAGATCCAGGAAGCCCAATGGATTCCAAACAGGATAAATAAAAATATGAGGGGGGACCCAAAAAATGGAATTTATTTATTAAAAATTGTGTATTTTTACATGTTTAAGTCAGTCACCTTCAAAGTACTGTCCATTTGATGCAATACATCTATTGAGACACTTTTTACACTGCTTAAAAGTTTTGAATTCATCAATTTTGATGCCTTTTAGTGCTTCTGCCAGTTTTTGTTTCACCTCTGCCACATTGGCAAAATGTTTCCCTTTGAGGACTTTTTTCATTGGGGAAACCAAAAAAAAAGTCACTCAGGGTGAGATTGGGTGAATAGGGAGGGTAGAGTGCAGGAGCATGCTGTTTTGGGGCAAAAACTGCTGAATACTCAGTGCAATGCGAGCAGGTGTGCTCATAAATTGCCCATCATAAAATGGGCAAATGTGTTAAAAGAATCTCCAAAAACAAAAACAATTCACTGAAGCCCAACCTAGCCTCTCACAACAACACTAGCTGGTACACTGATGCTGATAGGTTCCTAGAACACTTATCTAGTGGGGGAAGCCTGTACTACAAGGGTCCTATCCTCCAAAAAATAATTCTGGGTTTTTTTAGGGGGGTCCCCTTATATACCTTCCAAACCAATAAAGGGGGGGGACTCTACATTTTGTAAAGGCAAAAAGGAAGAAGAAAGAAAGAAAAAGAAATGTGTTGCAAACATAAAACGTTTTAAAAGGTCGAAATATATCAGTAATCACATTCTTATTTTCTGTCATTTAAAACCAGAATTTAATCTACTAAAGGAAGTTGGTGGGCAGGATGCAGAAAGGGAGACTGACAAGGTCTGGAGGATGACAGGTTCTGGGTAAAGTAAGGAATAAGAGGAGACCAGGGATATGAACAGAGAGGCGAGGGTGGGGCCACATGGAGAGAACTGACTTAGCACAGCTGTGGAGGGAGGAGGCCAGGAGGGTTCACACAGCTACAGCATAGACCACAGTGTGATGAGCAGACAGTCATTGTCAAAGGGAATGGGAAGAGAATTGAGGATGTAAAGGGAAGAAACAGGAAAAGCACAATCCGTGCCCTCGTGATGCTCACGGACTAGGAGGGAGCTAGACCAGGGATCAGGGCAGAAGTCCCACATTGGGCCCACTGCACCATCTTCCATGTGAGTTGGTCTCCTGGAAGTCAGAGCTACACCCTGGGAACTTTGGTGGAGCAGTGTCACCAAGGCCAGGCATGTTCCAGGGGAACACTGCTCCCGGAGGCTACCGCCAGACTTCTGGGAAGATGGAGGCCAAAGACACAGCTGGCCACACTGTTCACTTCTGATCACCTCCTCTTCGACTCTCTTTCTTCCTTGGCCTTCAGTGTCTGTTCTTTTCTAGTTTTTCCTCCAGATGTGCAGAGATGGGGGTGGCAGTGGGCAGGGAAGAGGCCCCTCTTGCACTGAAAGATGTTTGAATGTGGTCAGAGAGCTGAAGACAGTTTTTCAGTGAAGTAATTGGCCATGTCGTCTGTGAAGGTTGAGGGAGAGGAGGTAGATGGAGGTCCAAGTTTGGAAATGCTGCTGTGGGGAGCAGGAAAGCTTGTTGTCTGTGGACATAAAACCCATCCAGGGTGGAGACTAAGCATTTAGTCTTGTTTTTCAGCAGCACACAGCAGGCCAGATGCAGAAATGGAGAATTGAAGGGGTGGGCTGTCTCAGATCTGGGCTGTGCTGGCCCCGTGGGACAGAAGACAAGGCTACTATAACTCGGAGGGTGCTGTCGAGAAGATGGAGGAAGGAACTCACTGGTGTCTGGTTGGAAAATGGAGAGAATCTGAAAGGAGTCCATTTGGTAGGGAAAAAATGGAATGGTCCCAGAAAAAGAGGTCTCGATTCAGTCTAAGCTCCTGCGTGTCACACATAAGAAAGAGCAGTTGTGGTGAGAGAATGGAGCCCACTGCTAGCGTGAAAAATGCAAAGGATGGGGGTCTTGAGTGAAGAGAGAGGAGAAGCCACAGGAGGGAACTGACATTGCATGGTGGCCAAGGCCACTAGTGCTGGAAGGCCAGCCTTGTGAGGCAGGGAGTGGGATGAGCCATGGGCCCTGCTGGACACTAGCATTGCCCAGAATGACAGCCACATGTGAGAAAGAAAAGATGACTAGGGGACGGGAGAGTCCTTATGGAACATTAGTGAGTGGACACACCAGGGGGGTAGAGAGGTGTCTGGCTCAGCAGGGGTTTTACACGAGGAGGAGGACTTGGTTTGGAAGCCAACAGAGGTCAACAAGAGAGTGCCACCCTGCCTGGGGTGGGGAATGGGAGAGTAGGCAGCGCCCACTGGAGGGGGCCTTGCTGCAGGCAGGTCCAGCAGTTTAGGAGGAGGACTGCGCCGGGGTCATGCTCAGAATTCACATCACCTTGAAGTGTATCTCCTCACTTCTCTAACTCTGCTAAACAATGAAATGGCACAGCTCTATGTCTCTAGCTTCTGGGATTCCGTCTGCTCCATAGGAGGTACCCAAGAAATGTTTGAGGAAGCAGGGAGTCAGGAGGGGAGGATAGGCTGTTTTCAAAAAAAGCTCTGCTGCAGCACAGTGGACAGGCCCACATGAGTCCTGCTCTGTCCCTTACAGTGCCCGGCAGGGACATGCTCAGCATCGCTCCCCCCACAAGACTGAACGAGCAGGAAGAAACTGGAAGAATCATTGAAATGCAACGCCTCGAAATCCAGCGCCTCAGAGACCAGATCCAAGAGCAAGAGCAGGTCCCAGGGTTTCACACCCTTGCTGGAGTTCGGCTTCCTTCCCTCATCGACTCAGAGTTGGACCTGGAGGTGCAGAGCCCGTGACCCCCTCTGGTGAGCCATCTCCAGCCACAGCCAGAAGTACCACATGTCTGTCTCCAGGCCACACTCACAGCCGGAGTCCCTTCAGTCCCTGCAGCACTGACCCCACCAACCTCTTTATCTTGCCCTGGGGAAGTTGGGTCATAATCAGAATAAAGGTGTTTGCCCACACCTTGTCCAGCTTCTGCTTAACTAGGGGGCGAGGGCCAGAAGAGGAAAAGAGAGGAGCCTGAGGACCAGGGGTTCCAGCTTGTTCAAAGCCACTGCTGCTTGTCCTTGTCTGGGCACAGAGCTGCCTGGCACTGCACAGATCACACCGGACTGCGGGCTGGCTTCCTGCCACCCCTGTCATCTCTGGACCTCAGGGATGGCACTGCCTGCTGCTTCTCACCTGGCTTTCTCCTCTGCCAACTCAGTCAGGACCAGACAAAGGCTGCTACATTTCCTTCTCCTTTATGAGATGTAATGAGGCTTTCTGAGAATTTTTATATCTGTGTAAAGAGGAGGGAAAAGATGACAGTAACATAATGGACATGGAAAAGTTCCAAAGAATTCACCCAAAGTCTTACATTATTGGGACTGTAAGCAGAGCTCTGCTCTTATTTCTTCTGCGCCACATCATTCTAAATGTGTCATCTTTGTTCTGTAGGGCCCAGTCCTGCTCCTCCATTTCTAGAGGGCACCTCTCCCTCTAATTATTCCTCTCAGTCCTATCTTGGGAGGCCCAGTCACACACAGGTACCAGGAGAGAGAGTTCTTTATGCACTGAAGAGCAAGGGAATATAATCCAATATCTCCCCCCTACAGAGACCTGACACCCCTCTAATACCCACATAACAAATGTTTAAACCCACAGTCCCTGCTGCTCCCTGCTGATCACCTCTGGCTGTCTTAAACCTGGCATCATCCAATCTTCTCCTGATCTACTTTGCTGAAACTCTGGACACTGTTCTTTGGGTTGATTTTCACAGTGAGAGTCAAGGCTTGGCTGTCACGTCTAGCAAGACCTTTTGAAGGCTGTGGTTGCAGGAGGAAGGGACACAGCAAAGGTCATGGAGCAAAGTGCTGCACAGGAGCATAGGTCTACAGAGGACTCTCCTGGGCCTGCACCCTGTCACAACAGCCAACTTGTCCCCTCAATCCAAGCATGCTCTCCACATGTCTTTGCTCCACTGGGAGGCCAGATCCAGATGGCGAGAAAGAATCCTGGCACCTCTAGAGAGGTCTAGCTTCAAAGACAACAGCCCATGGCATTACCATGCTGGGTGGGTGGCCACTTCTGGGACCCAAAGTTCTCCACTCCAAACTAGTGGCTTAGCTTCACCTTTGCAGAAGAAACTGACTTGAAATGAGATTGGGAGGATGGTGCAGATCATGAAGGGTCTTGAAGGCACGTGAAAGCTTTAACTGTCTAGAGGCCAGTGCTAAACCACTGTGAATCACTGCCCACTGCCCTCCATGCTTTTGCCACGCTGGCCTCCTTTCATTTCCTAAAAAATGCCAACGTCCTTCCTGACACTGGGTCTTTCCACATACTACTTAGTTTCCTCTGCTTGAAATGTTCTTGCCCCCACACCTCACCTCACAACTTCTACTGATCCTTCAGATCTGAATTTAGATGTCACTTCCTCAGAAAGGCAGTCCCTGACTTCCCCTAACCCCTATCTAAATTGCACTTGCCATATTGTTCTCCTTCGTAATCCTTACTATGACATGTGTGCTTAGTTGCTTAATGTCTGCCTCTCCTACTAGGAGAGTCCCACAGGACAAGAGCCATGTCTATTTTTAAAGTTTACTCAGGTATTTGTATGAGGAATGGACTAAGGTGACCCAATAGTGGAGGCAGGAGCCCAGGTAGGGGAAGTTGTGAGTGTCCAGGTAGAAGAGGGCAGTAGTATGGACCAAGATGATGGCAGTGGGGAAAGAGAGACATGAATGCTTCTGACTTAAGGAGGACTGATGGGAGTCAGTCAAGCCAAGGGAAGGGAGCATGAGCCTGGGAAGAGGAAAAATGCAGAGCTTCTGAGAACCAGAAGGAAATTCACTGGGGTCAGGATGTATCATTCAAATGATAGATTTTCCAACTGAAAAATATCTTTGAGTCAAGACATCACATCCCACGTACAAGTTGGACCATGGTTTAAAGATGAGAAAATCAAAACCAAAGAGGAGTAAAGTGACAGGCACGTGGTCACATAGGCAGGGCCAGGTTTACAGCCCACTCTTGCCAATGACTTCAAAGCCCATGCTGTCGTGCACTGCACTGAGAGGCACCTGAACAAGACACCACCACTAACCAAGTGGAGGTTATAGGCACGTGACACCCAGAGAGTATAAACGAGAAGGTAAATGAGCCAGAAACTCTCAAGCTAAGCTAACCTAAACCTGGCTAATGTCCAGCTGGTGGGGTGGAGGAGGAAGTCCAGGCCCAGAGACAGCCCTGCCCCAGCAGAACTTGGCACCTTGGCCAGCAGGTCAGAGGTGACCGCAGCTTCTTGCTAGTACATATAGGGTCAGAGGTTCAATCTTGTTTACCTCTCCGTGTTCTGTTTTCAGTGCTCCTGTGTCAACCTATTAGGTGGCATTGCTTCTGAGACCTCCTTCCACTTTATCCTGAGACCTCCAGCTGTGCTTCTGATACCTCCTTCCACTTTATCCTGACTCCACGGGGGGGGGCTGGAGGCCCTCACCCACTTGTGCCCTCCTCCTTCACAAGGTCTCTTCAGCCAGTTGACCCCTCACTGATGGAGCAGGCCTGGCAGTCACCTCCTCCTGCAGCAGCCAAAGGGGCTCTGCTGGTCACCCAAGTGGCCATTAGCACATGGACTCTTGCTTTTCGGGTTGCAGTACATCATTGAGCTCTAGGGACTCATTCAAGTCTGGTGTAACAGCTGGTGTCTCTGGGGACTGCTGTGCCACCCTGGTGTAAGAGCCTCTAGAATTCCTCTCTCTGAGCCTCAGATATTTTTAGACCCGCTCCCCTTCTTCTAGATTCTTGGCATCAGCTGTGGCCAGACAACATGCACTGCCCAGGTGAGCCTCCCTGCCATCCTGTTCTCTCAGCGCTGAAGATCTTGACCTGCAGGAGGTTCTCTTATCACTGCCCTACATCTTATACAAATCATGGCAAGTCATTGCCAACCAGCTGGTTCCATGAAGTACCTGAGGGTCCTTAGAGGCCTAGGAATATCTGTGTGCCCAGATAGGACCCCCGTACAATCACTGCTCTCAACTCAGAGTGAGAAATGAGAGAGAAGGTATCTCAGGACCAGGAGTGGGGTTCATTCTCTCTGCACTCCCTTGGGGTGCGCTCTCCCAGACCATTGGTGGTTTAGGGGCCTGCCTATACTTTAAGCATGTCTAAGATGAGCCAGATGAGCTGAGCTAAGCTGGGCTGGGGAGCAGATTTACAAGGAAGTAAGCATGCTGTGTGCCAGGCAGCCAGAAGGACTAGCGTTACTGATCACCATATGGTAATATATTAGAATTTGTATTTATTACTCATCTAGTATGTGTCATATGGTGGGACTTGGCGGGGACAGCACATGTGAACTGGTACTTACTAAGCACCCACCACGTGTATTAATATGTTAAATATATTTTAAGTGGGACCTTGAGATTCTAGTTCTGTATAGAGGAACTATGGGTGCCCTTCTTCAGCTACACGTAACAGAAACCAACTCCATCCAATTTAATCAAAAAAGGAGAATGTACTATCTGTTTCTGGAGGTGTCTCATGGAATCCCATGGCAGAAATGCAACCAGGCCTCAAGAAGGACTTGAGCCAAGGCCTCGGACACTGCTGGAACCCTTCTCCCTCTCTTGTCCTTGCCCCTCTCTGCAGACCAGCTTCCCATTGTCAGGTCATCTAGCAGAAAGGCACCTTGACCTCTCTCATTAGTAGAAGACCCCAAGCTGGAATGAAATCTCCGGTCCAATTTTAGATTGCCAAAAGAGAATCTTCTTGGCCTACCTTGAGTCTGGGGCTCGCCTCTATCAAATTAACCATGGCCGTAGAGGTAGGTCACAGAATGGAATCCCGGTGCCTGGGTTTCTTCCCTGCAATGAGGATGGTCATTGTGAGTGGGACAATACTCTAAAAGATGTCTATCTCTGAGGAAACTATCACCCACTGAGAATGGGGGTATGCCTGGAGCTCTTGAAGACCCATGGTTGTGCTTTATGCCCACTGATCTCCTAGACGGCCCTTCAGGGTGGTAGGACAGCACCTCTCTATTCACCATTGTATCTCGAGCACTCACCCAGCACCTGCTCCAGAGAAGGGACACAGAAAATGTTTGCTGGATGAATTAATTATATTATCAAATCCCCCCACCGACTGTATAGACTAAGTACTGTTGTTCCCATCTTACAAATGAAGAGACTGAGACACAGAGGTTAAGCAATTTTTCTAAGGTTACACAGTTAAAGTAGGAACTTGAACCTTCAAGATCAATCTTGCTCCAAAACCAGTGATTCTTCCACTATTCATTCATTCATTCGTTCATTCATTCAACAAAAATGTATTGAGCACCTACCGTATGCCAGGCCTATTCCAGGAGCTGAGGAACAAGCAGATACAAATCTTTCCTTCATGAAACATTCCAGGAGGTTAGACAGATGATATTCCAGATTGATGAGAAAGATGTATAGTATATCAGAGAGTGATGAGTGCTAAGGACAAACATAAGGGAAAAAAGGAAGTAGAAGTAAGGGCAGAGGGTAGGAAGTATCAGGGGGAGGTTATGATTACAGACAGGGTGGTCAAGAGGTCTCCCTGAGCAGATGACATTTGAGAACACCTGTGAAGGAGGGGGCCATGGGAGAGATAAGCATTCTAGGCAAACAGAACAGCCAGTGCAGAGGCTCTGAGGCAGCAGAGAGGGCCTTAGAGGCTGTGGGAGGCCCTGCTTCTCTGAGGAGCGTGGGCCCCTGGAGGGACAGCAGCACTGGCATTGCCTGCTCTACCTCATAACAGGATCACTCTGGCCACTGGTTGAGAGTAGCCTGAAGTGAGAACACAGCAGAAGCAGAGAGACGGCACCCTAGTCTCTGTGTTTTCCCCTCAGACTCCCACCACCACCTTCTCATGAGTCTGGGGACAGCTCATTCACCTTCCGCCCCACACCTGAGGCCATCACCACCTGACCTTCACTACTGCCCATCTGAGCCAAACCAACACACTCTTCTCTAGGAACAAAGTTCAACAGCCCTCTAAGGAGCCTGCCTTTCCACTTTAACTCTAAATTAGTTGATAAGAACCAGAACTGGAACAAAGACTTGGCCCGTCAATGTTTAAACTGAGGAAGCTTTTAGGCTTTGTTTCTCCCACTCAAAAAGTTCCCTTCAGACCCTCAAGGGGAGGGGCAAATGGGAACTATATGGGTCCCCCACTCCAGCTCTGCTAGGGACAGCTGGACCATGGGTCTGCCTGTGATTGAACCCTCCTGGGGACCAGGGAGGTAAATAAACGTGAAACATGTGCAAGAAAAATCCACAGCCAGCGGATCCTGCTGGCCCTTGGAGCTCCTGCTCCTCTGAGCTGAGCCCCTCTGTTAAAAGGGGGACACCTTTATAATGCTTTGCAAAGTGGCAGGATGAACGTCTACAATGCCACACCATTGGGCCCCCCCCAATCCAGCCTGCCCCACAGCAGTCAATCTGCCCTGACCTTTTCGTGAAGTGAAGGACATCTAGAGCTGTGCCATCCAGTAAGGACACAGCCAAAAGCCAAGCATGGCGCCTGAGCATTTGCAACATGGCCTGTCTGAAAGAGATGCACTGTAAGTGTGAGATACACATTGAATGCTCAAGACTTTGTACAAAACAAGACTGTCAAATAGTTCATTAATAACTTGTATATTGAGATATATTTTGGAGCTAGACACATTAATTTTAATGTGTTAGTTTCACCTGTTTCTTTTTAATTTTGCATGTGGCTATTAGAAATGTTTAAATGACATATGTGGTTCACACCATATTTCTATGGGGCAGAGCTGTTCTAGACATATGATTGGACCCCACAGAACAAGCCAAAGAGAAACACCAGCAGGTCAAGCACAATCACTTTGTGAACTGATCATGGAAAGATAACTTTGCCGTCGTTTTTGTTTTCTTTTTCATACACATCAGAAAGAGAGACTGAGAGATGTCATAGAGGCTTGTCCAGGAGATAAGGGCCAGCCTACACTTCCCAAAAAGCCACCCCTTCACCATTCTGGAAGATAGTGTGTGTGTGTGTGTGTGTGTGTGTGTGTGTGTGTGTGTGTGTGTGTGTGTGTTGCTAGATTTGTCAGTTAGAAGTTCCAATTTCATCCCTGTTTTGCTTCAGAACCCTCCACATGCCTCACCATGTATTCAAGGCCCTGCACAGCCTGAGCCAAACTTGTCTTCCAAATACCTACTCAAACCCCCCCATGCTTGAAAGTCCAGGCTTTCGTTCAACAAATCATTCAACAAATATTTATTGATTATTTCCCACATGCTGGCTACTGAAGCCATGATGGTTAACAAAACAGGCACTATGCCTGCACTGGCTGGGGACCATGTGTCTAATAGGGGATGACAGGTAAGTAAATAAACAGCAATTAAGCACACTGCAGTAAGGGCAGTTGTCGGGGAGATGATGTCTCAGTTGAAGATGGAATTGGCCAAACTGAGGCTGGGGAGTTGTAAATATCCTAGGCAGGGGGAACTCTGAGTTCAAAAACCAGAAGAGCAGAGGGCAGAGTATATAGGACTGAATGACACTAGCTCTGACTAGAAGGCAGGGTGCCAGTGGCAGGTGCAGATGGCAGGGGCTTTGTGAGCCTTATGAAGGAGTGTGGCATTTAGCCTGTGGCAGTGATTCTGGGAGCTCCTGTCTCACACCTGAAGGTGAGGTAGGCTTACCACAGCCAGGCATTTGAGGCTTTGAAGGAAAATGAGCAAGGGGTTTGTGGGGGTTCCAGCCCAGGCCTGGAGGTACTGGTGCTGGACTTAGGGGTCAGTTGGGGTTGAAATGTGGAGCTGAGGCTGGGCCGGAGGTTGGCATTGGATTTAGGGGGCTAGATTCAGGAATAGGGGTCAAGGTGGGGGCTGAGGGTGAGGTTGGGGTCTAGAACCTAAGTCTGGAATTTGCACTGGAGTCAGGAGTTAGAGCTGAGGTTTTTAAACCAGATCGGAGTTGGATTTGGAACTGGGACCAGGAATGGGGCTGGGGGTTGGGCTGAAATGAGTGGCAGGAGCAGGCAGGGGTGGGAACTGGGAGTTCTAGTTGGGGTTGAAGCCGCAGCTGGAGTTGGGGTTAGTTGTGAAGGCTGGAGTGAAAGCTACATTGGGGTTGGAGCTGGGGGTTGGGCTGAGGCCTCAGCTCAGGGGCAGATAGACAACATTCTTCCTGCTGCTCAGGTCTGCGAATTGTGTTCCCAGCCCTAACAGCCGGACAGAAAGCCCCTCCCTTCCCAGGAATGCCTCTGCCCAGCTGAAGGAGCTGTGCCACGTCAGCCAATCAACTCAGGCCCTGCCCTGGAAACACTTGTTAATCCCCCTCCCCCAAGCTCACCTGAGTGCAGGTTAGGCTGGTAAAGCATCTCCCCGGAAACTGAGCTGGAGCGCCCCACCTGCCCGGCTCTTCCTGCTCTGATGGATCATGGATCGGATCCAGCACTTCCAGGCTTCTCGTGAGTGCCCCATTGTCCCCCTCACACACCCCCACCCCCACCTTTTCCCACTGACTCCTCTGGAGAACCTCCAACCCACCCCCTGTCTGGCTCCGGCGGTCTCAGCACAGCTGTGCAGGCACTTTCACAGCCCATGGGAACCCTGGGACTAAGTCCACAGCCCCGCCCACCACCCCTCCACCTCCCTTAGGGACATCAGCCCCAGCCTCCCTCACCTTGGCAGCAGGGCAGACTCTGCTAAGGGAGTCTCAAAGAGGACTGTACCCTGTGCATGGCCACGTAGTTATAGTCCAGGAATAATCCGAGACCCATGCCCTGTGTCCTGTCCTGAACTGGAGGGATAACATCGTGTTCATTTATTCAAAAGGCATGCATTGAGTGGCTATGCAGGCTCTAGGCCCTACTGGAATCCTGAAATGAAGATGTCAAATGACTCGCCCCACCCCTCAAGATAAATCTTATCTTTACTTTTCCGATAAGGAAATTGAGGCTCTAAGAGGTGAGCTCATCAGGCTTCCCGAATTTCCCCCAAGACCCTCTTCTAGGCTCCTTGGGGTTTGCTGACTAACCCACACCCAGCACTTATCACAGGCACAGCACCTGCTTGCTTCTGTCTCCTGCTGCAGATCGGGGCTCCTGGCGGGCAGGGACCACATCTGCTTGATTGTGAATGGTGCTGTCCTCCAGAGCACAGGCTATGAGCAGCCGCTGTCAGGGCCCACACCACCAGTGGGAAGGACTGGAGCTGCAGTTCAAATTCAGAGCCCTCCTTTCTCCTTTAGAGAAATGTTAACTTTAGAGAAATTGTGGAGAAGGATGTCATAGGGGTGTAGGGGGATGAAGAAGAGTATGGGGCAGGAGGGAAGAGGCAGGACTAGTGAGGGGGAGAACAAGGAACTGGATGGAGAAATGTTTAGATGTGGACTCCCCCAAGGGATGTGGGAGGGGAGAAGTCCATCCTGCTGGCTGAGAGGGTGCAGGAGAAGCAGGTTTGGGGTAGGGTGAGGAGCTTGGGTTGGGACCTGATGCAACAGAGGCGACTGTGGATCATCAAGGTGACAACTGACTCAGGAAGGATATCTGGGTTGGAGAGAGGGATTTGGGACTAGCAGCTTATATCCCCAAAGTCATGACTGTGGGACTGGAGTGGGGGTTAAGGGAGGTCCCAACCCAAGAGAAGGAGAGACACAGCCTAAGAGAGAAGATTCAGGTCTGGCTTCTGGTTCCAGAAGGGTTAAGCCATAAGCCCCCCC